GAAAAGGGACTGAGGGGGACGGAGGGATCAATGTTGGTCCAGTCATTAAAGTGTAAGATATACTTTCTTGGGGGCCCATCCCGAGCAATCTCACACCCTCCATTCCATTTAACCTGTCTTATTTTACCTCCTTGGTCCGCTCCAAGCCAGTTTTGATTAAATGTTTTTATGTGTTGTTCGATATCCTTTTCTGTTTGTAAAGTTTTAATCTTTTCTTTGACAAAATCCCATCTGAAGTTGATTTCTAATTGGACTTGCTGTTTAATGGAGTCTGTGAACTCAGAGCCATCGAGGTGTGCACCCTCCATTTCAAACGTACACCTACGCGTCCATATGGCCCATATGATAGCTCTTCTTCCAATCGTGAATAAATTGGTTGTGAAGTTATCATCGCTGGATGGGACCCAGGTTTCCAGAAGGAGGGCTTTCCAATTCCATGGCCATGGCAGGGAGGTTCCAATCTGATCCCAAATCCAATCCCACCAGCGCCAGATCCATACCGCACCTCGGCACTGTAGAAATATATGCTCTACGGTTTTCGGGATCAATTTGGATGGAAAGGCAGATCTGTAGAATTTGCACCAGGGAAGGGCTATACCCCTTTGCTCCAATGTCGTTCTATCAATAATCCAGTCATTGGTTGACAAGCATCGGTGAGTGATCTGCCATTGTAGTGATGCAACTTTCGCTGGTTTGGATTTGGTTGAATGGAACCATTTAACTGACTGGAGATCTTCTTTGCTTATATTCAAGTGTCTCATCCATCTCTCTTGAATTCTATCCTTTAAATTAATCCTAGGGCGCAGCATTCTGTACGTGGATTTTACCGTCAGCGTATGAAGAGATTGGGTATGTGAGCATCCTGCATATGCAAAAGAAGACCAGGACCAACTTACAGGGTCTATGGAGAGATGGGAAATAGGAGTGTCTGGTTTGTAAGCCAGCAGTCTATCCTTAATCGTTAGAACTCTAATCCTAAATAAGCAAAATGATTGGATTAGACTCACAATTTGTTCTGAAGTGTTCCTAAGGAATCTGTCATCACTCAAGTCAAAAACTGTCATTAATACATCGCCAGAAGCATGGACTTCATTAGTCTTTCCTACTATCCCTGGTTGATCATGTATGGATACCCAATCGTTTGGCATGAGAGTAGGATCTTTCTTCAGGATCCTGACCCAATCAAGAGAAATAATATATATTATTTGTTCCAAAGCTTCCTTCTGATGATGACAGTGTTTTAATCTGACATTGATATTCGGTAAATCAATCCAATCATTGGTCTCCTTATTCCAGATATCTCTAATCCTTGTGACTCCTCTTGAAATCCAACCCTTCCAAGGGGAATCTGTGTAGGGAAGGGTGCAACCATGTGCATCTCTGATTAGAGTATTATTGAATAAGGGTTGTTGACAAACTTCTTTCCATCTTTCCGACGTTACTTTATCTGGAATGGGGAGTTTTCTCCAAGTTTTTAGTAGTTCAATCCAGAAAGGATCCCTGGAAAGATCCCCCCTAACTGCCTGGCGATCAGAAAGTACTATATCTGGGGAGACTGATGGGGATGATCTGGGGAGAGGTCACGCGCGATTCTCCAACCACAGAAGCGGGTCAACCTCTTCAGGAGTAGGTGGGGCCAGGCGCCTGATCTGTTCAATAGCTAGGATACTCCACGGTGTTTGGGGGTTGAAAAGAAGACGCTTAATCCATTGGATTGAAAACGCTTTCACTTGAGTAGTGGGGTCAATTATGCCCAATCCTCCCTTTGATTTGGGTTGAATTATTGATTGTCATGCTACTCTGCTAATAACATGTTTGGATTCATGATTACCTCGCCAAAGGAAAGCTGCCAACTGCCCCTGTAGGATTCTGATAAAAACCTTATCAAGAGCCCAGAGCGCCGATTTGTACCAAATAGAAGCCAGGACCACATTGTTAATGGCAAGTGTTCTTCCTATCAACGAGGTATGTTTGTCTTTCCATAATTTCAATTTAGATATTGCATGTTTCGGGATACCTTCATTATTGGATGCTGGTTTGCCCATGGCTGAGAGAGAAATCCCAAGTACCCTCATCGGGGAATCAATAGGGAGCCACTTGATCATTGGAAGTTCTGGAGGCCTAATTCCCTTATAGTGAATCCACCAACCTATGATATTATTCCCCCAGCTTACCTTCATGTCAGAGAGTTTGGAGAATTCATCCATAATACGTTGAATTGCCTCAAGATTCTCATGTGAGGCATTCACCATAAGAGAAAAATCATCAGCAAAGAGAGAGCATACTGGAATAGCATACTCTGGTATAGATGTGATTTGGATGCGCTTGATATCTTTGTGATGACGTATATTGGCTGCCAAGGCTTCCATAATGATTACAAAGAGGAGCGGGGCAATTGGATCGCCTTGCCTCACTGACCTTTGTAATATTATGGAAGGGGCTACATTACCATTAACGACAACTTTTGTAGATACATTCTCATGTAAGATTTTAACCCACCTTCTGAAATTTGGTCTGAAGTTAAACTTCTCAAGACATTTATCTAGGAAGAGTCAATCAACATGATCATAAGATTTCTCAAAATCGATAAAGATGAAAGCAGCATTATGTTTAGATTGGCAAGAAAGTTTAACTAACTCGTTAATGAGTAAAATATTATCTTGAATATTCCTTCCTTGAATAAACCCCGTTTGTGCGGGGTGAATTATATCTGCTATATATTTGTTGAGGCGGATAGTGAGGGTTTTTTAGATGAGTTTATATACCACAGAAAGGAGGGTGATAGGACGATAATTACGAATATTACATTTATCCCCCTTTTTGTAAAGAGGAGTCAAAATCCCTTGCCCCACTATTTCTCCCAGGCAACC